ATATTTTCAAATTTATATTTTATTTAAAAATAGAAACATTATCGTTTTTTTCAAAACCACATAAAATCGTATTATATCGACATAGATAAAAAATAAAACGAAACATTGAAATAAAAATGTGTCTTGATGCATTACACGAACACCCTAATAGTAATACTATAATAGTAAAAGAAATGAAGTAGATGGGAATATTTACTCTTTTATCTGATAAATATGTAAACAAAATGCAACGGTCAAATGATTATGAATTGATATTCGTCCATATGTGATGTTTTTATTCTTAAATCGAAAATCTTACATAAATTTTCAAAAATAAAATTTAAATCGACTTAGAGGCCGTTTACTAAAAACTTACTTGGTAAGTGCTTATCAGATAATTTTCTTTACCGGATGAACATGACAAAGATAAAAAATCTTACCCAATAAGAGCAATGATAAAGATGAAGAGTATTATTTGGTAAGTGAGGGTGATGACTCTTACCCGGGTAAGTGTTTATACGATACTACTTTGATGTACTACAATCTTACTCAATAAAATAAATTATAGTGTTGACTTCTAACATTAAATGCTTACTGGGTAAGTATTTAAGTAAACGGCCCCTTAATTAAGTATAAGCTTATTTAGGTCTTATTTATTGCAATTCTTTTTCAATATTAATGTTATTTTAAAGAGAATCTTTTATTTGATCTTAACCAAATAAGCCATTAAGTACAGTGATATATAATCCATAGTTTCAACCACTTGATGCTCACACATAGTTTCATCAACTTTCTATTTATTTATTCTCACATTTTCCAAGTCAAAATCAGGTTTTTCCAAAATCCTGATTTATATTTGTTTCATATATATATATATATATATATATATATATATATATATATATATATATAACAACTGAAAAATTACAAATAAGATATCATTTTTAGGGTCTGTTTGGTTGATTTTCTATTAAGTCTTATATAAATAAAGCTGTCTGTATAGATTGAAAAGTTTTTATTTAGAGGGTTTTTTCATAGATGAAAGTAGCTTGTTTTTTTTAATAGGGAGGGACATGTTTTGAAAAAAACTTGACTTTTTGCATAAAGTTTTCCTTCTTGAAGCTTATTGAATAAGCCACATTCTGTATCATTAAGTCACCACTAAACCTCATGTATAACTAACCGAATAAGTTGCGAGTTCTATTAAGCTAATTAAACTGTTAACAAATAGACCTTTTGTTGGTTTTGTCTAAACTCATATTGTATGGAACAAATATAAAATGCTAAAAACATCGTGTCGACTGATTTCAGGATAATTATAACAATTCAATAAATTTATATGAAATGTTACGAGTTTATTTGATTTGGTCTTATTTGAGATAGCAGTAAAGTGCCAACAAGTTGTTGGTCGACTAGACCAATTGTCGAGAAAATTTCAAAAATATTTCATAATGAAAAGAAAATGATAGTTGAGGGACTATTTATGTAATTCTTCTCAACATTTTTCAAGAAGAAGTAGGGTATGGTAGTTCTTGAAGCTGTTATTTTTCAAGATATCCAGGAAGCATGACAACCACAACCAATCCCACACTCGTTTACTCCCCAAAACCTTCAATTGGGTTCAAAAAGATTCAATTTTACAATTGCTCGAACCCCTTTAGATCGTTGTGCTCATCAAGGCCTGCTTCATTCGCCGTCAAATGCACCGTTAATGATAATGCTAGTATTGGTAGCTCGGGCCAGAGGAATAATGGCGGTGAATTGAAGAATTTGCTGTCAGGTGTAGTGGACGAAACGGTGGAAGAATTGCTAAACAGAGAAGAAAACAGGGCTTTGTTAGATGGGTTGGATAAAGCTACACAGAGAGTTGAATTGGCCAAGAGAGAACTTGCTCAGATCGAAAAACAAGAAATTGAAAGCAAAAAGATGAAACAATATATCAATCAGCTCGAAACTAGAGCAGCCGAGGTTTGTTTCTTCTTCATGAACCCTATAATTGTAAGAATTTTATTCCAATTAAATGCATTTTGGTATTAGGGAATTCTTCACAAGCTTTAATACGACTGAAATAGTTGTGTTATCATCAATCATATGCCTTTTAACTGAATTAAGGAGAAACCTAATTGGCATTAGAATGTTAGAAATGGATTACAAAGTGTAGTACTACCTCCGTACCAAAATTACTATTAGTTTTGACTTCTATGTTTACATGTTATCTCCAACTTGAATCTTAAAAACTATTTTAACCATCAAAACTAATGAAATCCATGTCAATTGGATCATAAAAATGACACGAAATCAAAGGATATCTCTAGAAAAGTGTAATGCATATATGTTATTCTGAATCTTGTAAAGAATTGAAAAGATGGGTTGTGGATGGTGATAAAACGAAGAACAGGAATTAGAAAGGTTCTTTGCAATCTGCAAAGGGAAGAGGGTATGCTATAATTTAGCAAGAAACCGTTTTCTTTGTTTTTTCCTTTGTGATGATGCTTAACTTGGCCTTCATTACATGGTTGGTGAATACGTAAATTTCTTTGGGATTATTGGTAACTTGGCCCTCATCTAGATAGGATTTATCCACTTAAATGGGCCAATTTCTTTAGGATCAGATCAAGGTCGGACTCATTGACAACCTTAGAAGGATCTTGATCAACAACCCAAGTTGAAATCATATGTTATTAATGGAGATATATGCTTTAATTTGTATATTGAAGATTGAGGAATGCCAGAAGGAATTATCAGAAGCAAGAGCACTGGTTGAAGAAGCAGAGCGCTCTCTTGATGTTGGAGTTGGAGATAGAGATGCAACTATGACAGAAACAGAAAGAGAAGCAATGTACAAAAACAAAGAGAGGTTTGAATCTGTAAAAGCTGCTTCAGTTTCTGCCATTGTTGGCACCTTGGCAAGCTTGCCCATTTCCTTATCTCAGGTGACCGAAACTTCCCAGCTAATACTCCCTTCAGTAATCACTCTCATCAGCTGTGCATTATTTGGTGTGACCTTCCGGTATGCTGTTCGTCGTGACTTTGACAACTTTCAGCTCAAGACTGGAACTTCTGCAGCTTTTGGCTTTGTCAAAGGTATTTTTGCAAATCTTTCTATTAAAGAGATATATAGATTATAGGGTTCATATTTAATATATGATGTAGATACTCTTTGTTCCCTTAAATAGATATATAGATTATGCTTCAAATACAAACTGATGATAAGTGGCAAAATGTTACTGGTTTCGTAAGAGTTGAAGCTAGGACTACAGCAAAATTGGGTTTATAGAACGCCAAATATGTCTAAATGTCCCAATAGACTACTTTATAGGACTTAAGTTTATAGGACCTAACAATTGTGCATTCTTTGTAAAGGTGTTACAGTAAGTTGATAGGATGCTTTTGGGCATCATGACAAATTTTTAGGACACTTTTGAATGAAGTGTTCTTTTTTGTAGGGCACTTTTGAGAAGTACCATATGAACAATCTTATTATAGGAAACTTGTTTTTATAAGACAATTTTTATAAATAATGCCATATAAAAAGACTAATAGGACGTTTTATTTCAAAATGTCCTAAAAAACTTGTTGGGACTCCCAAAAACGTCCTATCAACTTATAGGACGCACAGTTGTTTGGTCTCATATACTTAAGTTCTATAAAGCATTCTATTAGGACATTTAGACATATTTGGCGTCCTATAAAACCGATTTTATTTTAATGCATCCCCTCAACCCGCATTCATCGTTCTAGTTGGTGTAAATCTCTCACTTTACAAGCTTCTACTACTGTCTTCTGAGTGGGTATGCATGCTTATGGTGATAGAAAGCTACTGCATTTACACATTCTTGTTTGAATTTGTAATGCAGGGCTTGCTACATTAGGAGGAGGACCGCCTATGGAGTTGGAAGTTGGTAGCGTATTGTCGCATGCTTTTAGTGGTGCAGTTTTTATATCAGAGAATCTTCTAATCTTTCTGTTTGCTACTGTCGGTTTGGATTTCTGCATTAAACTGGGGATTTTAAGTCCATTTCCAATTGAAACATCAGTTTCAAAAACAAAAGTGGATTGAAGCATCTGTTGTACCATAAACAATATTGTGTTAATTCTAGGTTGAATTTTGTATATACAACAGTGGTCGTGAAACCCTTCTTTTGGTTTTGCCGATCCTTCCAGCGTTGGTTCTTGGTTTATACAATTTCTTCCATTATTTTTTTTGGATGTCACCTCAATTGTTAATGTGCAGTCACATCTTCATTTGCTTCTTTAAGATGGCTCTGGAATCAGGCATATACAACGGAGAATATGCTAACATGGAGGAGATATTATAGGAGTTTGATGGGATCCTTAATCCAACAGAAAGAATCTAATTTGACCCTTATAGCCAATCAGATTCTTACATTTAATGTTCATGGAAGTATGATCAATGATCATGTTTATAATTAGAAATACATTTTTGAGATCAAATGAATGATTGTTAATTTCTTTAAGGATTGAAATGTTGAATATAAAAGTCAATGATTGTACTTGCAGCTGGTAGATTAGTGAGTATAATAGTACATACATGACATCTCAGCAATTCTTTAGTTTTAAGTGTTGGATCAAAGAGACAAAATTCATATGCAGCTTTGCTGATTGGCTGTCTCCCTCTCCCCTCCCCCCCACACACATATATCAATGCAAATGAAGAGGGTATTTGTATATACTATATATATATATACACATATTTATGCAGGTTTCCAGGGAGAAAGGAAGGACGTTGAGAAAGCAACATTTCCCAGTTGACTTGATTTTTAACCTCACTCTATCCTTTATCCTTTCCTCCATTGAAGAAAAGAGAAATTGCAGGTGAGTGATTACTACATTAATGAATTTTTTTTCCGCATAGTTACTGTTGTATTTGGATGCATTTCTTTTGATGTCTAAAGCCATGAGAAACACAGAAATGAAGGAGACTGGAGAGATTGAAAGAGATGGGGAGGAGATCGAGAAGAAAGATGATGATCATGATCACCTTCAAGTTTCAAAGAGGCTGCAACCATGGACAAAACAGATCACAATTCGAGGAGTTATTGCAAGCATTATTTTAGGGAGCATTTACACTGTTATAGCCATGAAATTGAATCTCACAACTGGGATGACTCCTAATCTGAATGTCTCAGCTGCACTTCTTGGTTTTGTGTACATGAAAACTTGGACGAAGATTCTTCAGAAATCTGGGATTTCCACCGTTCCCTTTACCAGGCACGAGAACACGATGATTCAGACATGTTCAGTTGCTTCTTACACCATTGCCATCGGAGGTTTCAATCTTCATATCTTAATTTTTCTTTCTTTTACATATTGCAATGTGTTTCTTGGTCTTTAAATTTGAATATATTTGGTTTTGGGGACAAATTTTAGGTGGATTTGGGTCTTACTTATTGGCTCTGAACAAGAAGACATATGAGATGGCAGGAGGTGCAAATTCTCCAGGGACATACAAAGAACTTCGTATTGGTTGGATGACGGGTTACTCTTTCTTAATCTGTTTTGCTGGTCTTTTTGTACTGATTCCACTTCGAAAGGTGCATGAAATGTCTGTATTAATTCTTTATATCCAATTTTATATATTACCGACATATTAACAATTTTATTCAACAGATCTTGATTGTTGACTATAAGCTAATATTCCCAAGTGGCATGGCCACAGCTGTTCTTATCAATGGATTTCATAGTCAGGGAGACGTGATGGCAAAGTATGTCCGTAACATATTTCATAAACCTTTTTGCAACGTTGTATTGTACACAACTACACATCCTTAACAAGTGTTTTTCCGCATATGATTATATGTAGGAAGCAAATCAAGGGGTTTGCCAAGTTCTTTTCAGTCAGTTTCTTGTGGGCAATCTTTCAGTGGTTTTTCACTGGAAAAGGAGAATGTGGATTTGCTCAATTCCCTACTTTCGGATTGGAAGCTTATAAGAACACGTAAGGGTTCTTTCTCTATTTCTATTTCTTGATTCTAAATAATGGGCTTTCTATTTGGTGTAGATTTTACTTTGATTTTAGCATGACGTATGTGGGAACTGGGATGATTTGCCCTCACATTGTGAGCTTTTCTTTGCTGTTTGGAGCTGTGATATCATGGGGTATAATGTGGCCACTTATTGAAAAACAGAAGGGAGAATGGTTCCCTTCTAATGTGCCAGCAAGCAGTATGGAAAGTCTCAATGGTTACAAGGTGATATATATATAATCACACCAACATGAATTCCTCCATCGTTGTTATGGTCCTTTTTTCTTACTAATTTCTCGGGTGGCAGGTTTTTATCTCAATTGCTCTCCTCCTTGGTGATGGACTCTACAACTTCATCAAGATACTATATTTCACATATGCAAGTATCTATGGAAGATTGAAAAGGGAAAACCTTAATTTAGGTAATTCAGAAAGCTTGGTCGGTACTTCAATGTGTGTATTATTGAAGAATTAACAAGACAGGGACCAGGGGAGTAGACAGTTGGTTCTGGGGCGGTATACTTGAATAAATGGACGAGGGTTTGAGTCTGGCAGCCGCAGGTTACAATTCTTTGGGATTGGGCTCCTTGTGGGCACCAGGCTCTTAAGTCGGCCACCTGCCACCTAGCGAATCTCCGTGTACCTGGTTTGCCTCTGACTTGATGCTTTTGGGTTGCCAGTTACAAACCCTTTTGCACAAACAAACAAGAAAGATGACTTATTTCTAATGCTACTTCAATTCAAAGGTTGTGCTTAATGCTTATCTTACCAATGGTATTGTCCTCATGCAGCTATAGGTGGCAAGAACGAAGTTACAGAGGAGGAACGACAACAAAATGAAGTTTTCATCCGAGAAGCCATACCCATGTGGGTTGGAATGGTTGGATACACTTCATTCGCCATTCTCAATGCGTTTGTGATACCCTTGATATTTCTGGAGGTTAAATGGTACTACGTGATTATAGCCTACATTATTGCTCCATCGTTAGCCTTCTGCAACGCTTATGGAACCGGGTTGACAGACTGGGACATGGCCTATAATTACGGGAAAATTGGGCTCTTTATGATGGCGGCATTGGCCGGAAAACACCATGGAGTGGTGGCTGGATTGGTTGGTTGTGGGCTTATTAAGTCGGTTCTCTATGTTTCTAGCACATTGATGCACGACCTGAAAACCGGCCATCTCACACTAACTTCACCTAGAACAATGCTTATCAGCCAAGCCATTGGCACTGCCATAGGCTGTATCGTATCACCTCTCACTCTCTCTCTATTCCTCAAAGCGTTCGATGTAGGTAACCCTGATGGAGAATATAAAGCACCTTTCGCAATAGTCTTTAGAAACATGGCGATTATTGGGGTTCAGGGTTTTTCCGCTTTGCCAAAGCATTGCTTAGATCTATGCTACGGATTCTTTGCATTTGCCGTGGGAATCAACATAGTGAAAGATCTGTTGCCAACGAAGATAGGGAAATGGATGCCGTTGCCTATATGCATGGCCGTGCCTTTCTTGGTTGGTGGGTATTTCAGTATTGATATGTGTGTCGGAAGCTTGGTTGTGTTGGTATGGCAAAAACTCGATGTCAAGAAGGCCGAGTTGATGGCTACCTCAGTGGCTTCGGGTTTGATCTGTGGCGAAGGTTTGTGGATCCTTCCGGCCGCGGTTCTTTCTTTGGCAAGAATAAAGCCTCCTATATGTATGAAGTTTTTGAGTTCTTAAAGGGAACCATGTCTATGAGATCAACTGTGGTATATGTATGCAGAACTGCAAGGTGAGTGATTACTGAGAAATCACAGATACTCCTATATTTACATTATAGACCTTCATCTTTTCCCCTTTTACATTCACAACTAATTTTAATTGTGTTATGATAATAATAAGGTTTTTAATCCATATTTTCATTAGAGTAAACTACAAATTTGGTCCTTGTGGTTTGTCGAAAACAACACTTTTTGTCTATGTAGTTTCGAAATTACACTTTGGCAAAAATAATATATCGATATATAGAACTTGCAAAATAGACTATACCGAAAATTTGGACAAACGTTTTGATGTTACGATACCAAGTTAGATGATTGTTAATAGGCTAAAACAGTGATGAAAAGTAGAATCAAACGAAAATCAGATCAAAAAGTTCTACCATAGATGAAAAAACACTACCTGAAAGTAAAATCCAGCATAACCCTGGTACAATCTAGAAAGCCATTCGCTTCCAGAGGCTTACACGATTAACTGTCGAACATGAAGGCTAGGAATACGTAGACCTTGGTGCAAACCGAAGACTTAGAATACGTAGAAACCGATGCACGCTTAGAAGAGAACAGAACTTATATGGAAGAAATACAACAAATGAGTACTAGTTTTTAGATCTCTTCTTAACCCTCCCAATGGGATGAACCTTAATTTGCTTAGATGTAAAATGTGTTGGAGACATGACCAATACATCTTATTTATAGCCCACAATCCACATGCATTTCTTTCTACAAATTATATCTTCCATGTGACTTGGTAAATGTTTAATAATTCTTCCTCAGTTAAATGAGCGAAATAAATCCGATAAGGGTTTGAGGAAGTTCAGATGTACATAACATTTCTCCGTTCTTAGAAGTGGAGATACTGTTTTTTTTTTTTTTTGTAATTAACCATTGATATTTATATCGTTCACATTTTAACCACTTTAGAAACTACAAAGGTAAAAAATTAAAGAATCTTTGGCCTAACGGTACTTTGTAACCCAACCTTCTCAGAGGTCAATGATACAACAAATCTCACTAAATGTGAGGAGTATGTGTAAGTTCGATTTGTTGTATATAAATATTATACACTTAAAAGAACTACAAAATAAAAAGAAAACAATATTTGAAAACGACTTTTATCAGGGACGGACCCAGTTAAGTGATTACGGTGGCACGTGCCATGTGTCACCATTTCATTCCTCTATTGTAGTGTGGAAAATTTCAAATTCATGAAAGATGTAGCTGTATTTGATTTGTTGTGTTTCACCGAATATATTTTGAAATTACAATAAATACACAAATTTTCTTTATTAAAGTTGGTTTGCAAGGTTTTTATTCCCTCCCAAACCCAAGTTTGAATCTCATTAGTGTCATTTTCTTAGTTTTTAGTTTTTATTTTTAGATTTATTATGTTTTTAAAAAAAAATTACAATAAAAAACTTGAACATAAGACATCACATATGAAAATCAATAAACTAATCAACTGATCAGTTATAATATTGCGAAACAGTACCACTATTTGAATTTTTTTTTTGAATCCGTCTCTTTAACTTTTATACCATTTAAGATAGAGAAAAATGTGTGAATATCCTATTTTTTGTGAGACCTTATTTTTGAATAAAAGATGTTGGATATATTTGATTTAGTAAATTAGTATATTTATGCTTGGGGATGTGTATATTTGGTCTGCTTTTTTTCTCCATTTTTACACGATGTGACATTTGTTACTCAGGTTAAAACAAGATGGTTTACAACTTCTGCTGTCCTACATTTTTATTTTTATTTATTGTTATTTCTGTACTTTTGGCATGTGTGTATATATATATTATATATATATAGACTTGGGATTATGTGAGATAATGTTGTTTTTGTGAGACTCATGAGACTATATTTTTATACTTGAAACTTCACAGCAAAACACTGTGAAGATAAAAATATAGTTTCACAAGTCTCACGAAAACAGGTTCGTTTCCCGTCAACTCAACCACATATATATATATATATATATATTTATTTATTTATTTATTCCCCCGATGATGTTTGTGGTTGTTGTTTTGTAAATGGTTTTTAAGTTGGTGTTGGAAATATGCCTCTGCTTATCATTTATTTATTATTCCCATGTTATTTATGGTGGTTTAATATTGTTTTGTGCAGAGAATATGTATATGTATATGTATAATAATAATGGTTTGAATAAATCCATGAATTAATTGTTTTATTATATTAAGGAATAAGGATTAAGGATTTAGGATTTAGGATTTGGTAAAAAGGTAAGTCAGCTCAGCTTTTCCACTTTCCAACTGCCCGCTTTTCCCTACTTTTTCTGTTTTCTAACCTTCATCATTTCTCACTCTCCAACTTTCGAATACCAATACCAATTCCATCTCCATTTTCTTTCCTTTATCATTCTATTTCTTAGAACAGCATACATATACATATACATATACATATACATATACATATACATATACATATACGTATAAGGTTGGGTTCTGATAAGAAGAAGAATTAAGATGAGAAGAAAAATTAAGATGAGAAGCGTAAGAAAGAACCTTCACCCTTAAATGCATATTAGGATGAGATGCATCGGATCAATTCCCGTATCAAGCACGATTCATTGGTAGGTTTGAGATTAAAAGTGATCAAGGGTCTACATCTATTATTATGCTTCTCATCTTAACTCTCAATTCTCACACGATCCTTCGCCTATATACATATACATTTGAGAACTACAAAATTCGTGAGATCTATAAGAACTTTTACCTTAAGGTTTTGTATCACATGATTTTTTTCCCGTCTAAGTATATTATTTAATATACTGATTAACATATATTTGTTTCATATGATGTATTCGATTCACAATATAAAAAACATTTACGTGTATTTTTTTCAAAAACACGTCAAAAAGGTTCACATTATGAACCGAATACATATGAAACAAAAACATTGTAAAACTAATATATTTTAGTCAGTATTTTAAAACCTCGTCCAGTGAAAAAAATATCATATGAAATAACACGTGATAAAAAAATTCTCAAGGTTATCAACAAATATTTTATTTTTTTCGTTTAAAACTAGAAACTCAATAACTTCTATTCTTATTCTAATCTTTTCAATCCTAAATCACTTTCTCAAGCTTACATACCCACCTCACCTTTGATGAAATTTAAACCATTGACTTTTTAGGATGCCAAAACATTCTATATGAATATTTAAAGTAAAAAGGCTTATAGAGATTAGGAAGAGAAACGATGAAGTTTGAGTGGGATTTAAGATATCAATTAATTAATTACAGTAATTCATATGGGAAAAATGCAACAATTTAATTGATTTGATTTTATAATATATGAAAACAGTAATTAAATGAGAACATATGTATATAAGAACAATAACTAAATAAGAGAATAAAAAGACAATCAAATTATATGTGATTTATACAACTTTGACTGTGACCTGAGGTCGCGTGCTACGTCACCTGCACACCCTTTCGTTGACCTTTAGTGTAAAATTACATGTGATATTGCACGTGATTTAACCGTTTTCGTGTTTTCTTATTTGATAACTATTCTTGTATGAGAATAAGAGTTGAATTGAGAAGTGCAAGAAGATATTTGAACCGTTGATTATTTTTAATCCTAAAACAACCCATGAATTGTGCTTTAGAGGGAAATTGATCCAGTGTATCTCATTAGTGTTGATCAAGTGGTTCTCTTCAATTAGGATTGATCAAAGGGTGGAAAATATTTCTTACCCTTCTTATCATAACTTTTATTATCACTGAAACTCAATCCTATATATATTCACCTATATATATATATATATATATATATATATATAGGCGAAGGATTGTCTGAGAAAAAGATTTAAGATGAGAAGCATAAGAAGGGATCTGGACCGTAGATCACCTTTAATCTCAAACTCACCAATGAATTGTGTTTGATACGGACATTGACCTGGTGCATCCAAAGTTGAAAATCATTTCTTATGTTTCTCACCTTCTCACCGGGACCCAACCCATATATATATATATATATATATATATATATATATACAAAGAGAGAGAGACGAAAGATCTTGTGAGAATTGGAGTTAAGATGAGAAACGTAAGAAATGATCTAAACTCTTGATCACTTTTTATCTCACCACACCTCATGAATTGTGCTTCTCACGAGAATTTGATCTAGTGCATCTCATAAGTGTTGACATTCAATTAGGACTGATCTAATGATGGAGATCTCTTATTAACTTCTCACCATAACTTCCATATATATATATATATATATATATATATAGGGTTGGGGTTACGGTGAAAATGGAAGTCATGTTGAGAAACGTAAGAATAGATCTCCACCATTGGATCAATCCTAATTTAATATCAACACTAATGAGGTGCATCGAGATGCACCAGGTCAATTCCTTTCTAAAACGTTGTTTATGGATGACATGAGATTAAAAATGATCAAGGGTTCAGATCTTTTCTTACATTTCTCACCATAACTTCAATTTTCACATGATCCTTTGCCTATATACGTATAACACACCTTTATACTAATCCCGAAAATCCTCGTTTCGCTATAGTTTTGACCCCGAAACAACCCAAAACAAATAAACACGGTTGAAACTCAATAACTCAACATTAGTGCATCAAATGTAATTTGATTAACTCATAATTACATCCAACGAAAAAACGAATGTCACATCATCACTGGTTTTCTACTTATCACAATATTATCACATAATCATCACTCCATTTGTAATATTTAAGGGATAAAATCAAATCTAAGATAACTATAAATTTTTGATAAATAATAATTTTTTTTAACTTTTTATTATGGATTAATAAATTTTGAGGCCTAAAAATGTTTTCACATTTTCATGAAATACGAGTTTTTTCGTTTTAACCACCACTTAATTATCAAACTCCTTGTACCCGAATATCATTACAATCAAATGCAAGACAGAGTTAATTAAGAAAATCAACGAGCACTTATAATTTCGGTTCTTTATGCTATTCATTAGTTTTGATATTTGAATAATTATTATAAACCGAAGCTTATATTATATATATATTTATAATTTTTTTTAAAAATAATTATTATTTATATATAGATAGTAAATTAAATTTACATGTACACAATCACATGCATTCATCACG